ACCCCTGTTTGAACCATCACAAACCACATATCTTGCTCCTGCAAGAAACCCATATTATGGGGAATAAAATACTAGCTTTACGCAGATCATGGACTCAACATTCCTTTAATTCCACTTATTCCTGTTATGCTTGGGGAGTTGCCATTCTCCTAAATAAATCTAATCACTGACCTTCAGTGCTGATATATTATATTGTTACTGGAAATTGGAGCTATTGTGTTTGCTGTTGTCAATGTATATATCCCTCCTCCCTTCAACCAGCAGGTCCTGTACACCATATAGGAAAAACTAGCCCCTCTGCAGTTTTCACAACTGTATAATGCAGGTGATTTCAACTCGATTCATGATGCATAATTAGATTCCTCTAACCCCCTTAGAGTGTATAGCCTTGACTTACTTCACTGGGCCCAGGCTTTTGAGTTTACTGAACTCTGGAGATGGAAATACCCATCCACTAGAGCCTACTCCTTTTTCTCAACCACGCACAAATCAGCCTCCTGTATATACCTTATTTTTGGAAATGCTCGAGACTTGTCATCGGTGCGAGCGGTCTCCTACTTACCTGCGGGCTTATCAGATCATGCCCCTATAGAGCTCAGAGTCATCCTATCACCTGCACACCATTCTTGACAAACCGGTGAATACAGAACCCAAAGGTTGGGGAACTGATCGCCCCTGTAATGTCCCTTTACTGGGACCTGAAAGAAGGCCCTGCACCGGCTCCTTTGGTGTGGGATGCGTTTAAAGTGCATGTACGAGTGGAAATATATCAGCCATTAAAATGACTAGACAGGACCTCTCCTCACAGATACAACAGTTGGAGGATAGTGAGGCATAGGCAGCCACAACTTTTTCTGACTCCCAGACCTTGGATAATTTCAGTTTACTTGCCCAGGCAAGACACAACGTGTCCCTTCATTTAACCTCTGTACCCATTTAGCTCTCAGGTCCCTGACAGGCAGAGTTTTTGAATCTGATGACAAGAATGGCAAGTTGCTTGCTAACCTGGTAACAGATTCCAAGGCTCACATGGTCATATCTTCTACTAGTTGCACAGATGGCACTGTAACCTCTGACTCTGACCGTATCTTACAGGAATTTACTGATTATTATGGTGGTCTCTATGGTGCTAGTTCTAGTGTAGCTGGATCAGAACTTTATGATTATTTGTCTGCTCTGGTTCTTCCTCAACTTTCACAGGAGGTGGCTGCGGAGCTTGACAAGGATATCACGGTTGAAGAAATAGAGTTATATACAATCTTTCCCTGGTTATAAGACTCCAGGTCCAAATGGTATACCAAGGGAATGGTATAGAATGTATGCTGCTACACTAGCGCCTAGGCTTCCTAGACTCTACTCAGACTGTAAAACACAATTGACATTACCCCTCTTAATGTATAAGGCTCATATAGTTATATTACCTAAACCCAGTAAAAACCGGTCCCAATGTGCCTCTTATAGGCCTATCTCTTTGCTAAATTATGATCTAAAGACCCTGACTAAATTATTGGCCACCAGACTAATGAAAATTTTGTCTTCCTTAGTCAGTATTGATCAGACAGGCTGTATCCCTGGGAAATCGACTGACATAAATTTGCTCAGGGTTTTCACTCATCTGCAGCTACTCCCCAGGGCCTCCGCTACCAGAGTGCTAGTGGCTCTTGATCTTGAGAAAGCTTTTGACTCGGTAGCCTGGCCTTACATGTTTGAAGTGCTTGAACATATGGGCTTCGGGCCTGAGTGTAGGATTTGACTGCTATATTCCTCCCCGGCAGCTCAGATTAAATTACATGGGACACTCTTGGCATCCTTTCAGGTGGGTAAAGGCACTAGACAGGGCTGCCCGCTCTTGCCAGCTTTGTTTTCCCTCATGATTGCTCTTAGATGCTCCTCAATGGTGGCTGGTATTCGGGTTGGGGTCCTGGAAGAAAAATTAGCTATGTATGCTGATGATCTCATTTATTCCTTAATAACCTGGGTCATTTCCTTAAGGAGACCCTAAAGATTATTTCAGAGTTCTCTGTCTACTCTGAGTTACATGTTAATTGGCAAAAATCAAAACTCCTGCCTATCGACCCTGATACCAACAAACTAACTGACCCTGCTATACCTTTAGTGTGGGCTAATCAAATGAAATATTTTGGAATTACGATCTCCCCTCCCCCCTCTGACTACTGACTATTGTATATTGAACTTGGGCACCTTCTTACATAGCGTGAAAAAAAAATTGAAAGCCTGGGTCAATCTTCCCCTGACGTTAGTGGGTCGGATTAATATCTTTAAAATTAAATTGTTGCCCTGTCTGGATTCCGAAAAAAAAAATTTTGTTTGGTCAATACCTGTCTCAATTCCTTTCTCTGGGGTTCGAAACAGCCGAGATTCTGCCTATTGTCGCTACAAGGACCCTGGCAACAAGGAGGCTTGGCATGCCCTGTTCTATTTAAGTACTATCTGGCAGCTATGAGCTATGCTCACACATGCTCATAATTGGTAATACAGCGTTATTGAAGTCTAGGGAATGTTCCAGACTCCTGCATAGTGATTGAGCCTACTGTAGTTTGTTGGTTTGTTGTTCTGTTCTAGGCAAGCACCAGTTTGTAATCTTGTTAAAGAGTAGTACCGAGACTGGGTATGCCCTATAGATTATGTTTTATATCTTTCTAAACTTTTTAAATCAAATAAAAAATAATTTTCAAAAAATATATATAATAACATTTTATGTTATAGTTTTTTTATGTTGACCTGATGTTCTGCATTTCTACTGTCACATGGATGTTTACAATTGTTTATTTTTATGTTAAATACTGTTAATACAGTAATCTGTAGAAGGAGACATTAAAATGTCCTTTAATTGCTGTTTGGGGATCCAAGCCTGTCTGTTTCCTGTGGAATTTTTTGGGGGGTTTTGTTTTTTTTGGCTAAACCAATAATATTGTATTATTGATATGTGCACTTTAAAAAAAATGACCAATGCTACTGAGAAAATTAAACTGTAAATCAGGTACCTGACAGATTTTATGTTATGTAAGTTATTTAAAATATAAATATGTGAATGTTCACTTTCATCGGATGTTTCAAACATTATTGAGATTTTGGTGTCGGCATTGTGTCCCATGGTTGCTACTATTTGTACACCATTGTTGGTGCCTTTGGTAGGAACTGTGCCACATTGCTATTCTCCTTTTGGAGGTAATGTGGCACATGACCTTGGTAGGGATTCTGCCCCTTTCTGGGTGTCCATTTGGAAGGTAATATGCCACTTGTCCTTGGGAGTAACTGAGCTCCTTTCTGGGTGTCCATTGGGAGGAATTGTGCCACATTGCTGGTGTCCTTGGGAGAAATTATGCCCCTTTCTGGGTGTCTATTTGGAAGGTAATGTGCGACTTGTCCGTGGAGGAACTGAGCTCCTTTCTGGGTGTCCATTGGGAGGGATTGTGTGACATTGCTGGTGTCCTTGTGAGGAATTGAGCCCCTTTATGGGTTTTCATTTTGAAGGAAATATGACAGTTGTCCTTGGGAGGACCTGAGCTCCTTTCTGTGTGTCCATTGGGAGGAATTGTGCCACATTGCTGGTGTCCTTGATAGGAATTCTTCACCATAGTGCATCATTATTGTTGTTTGAAATAATGCCCCAATAGGCCTGTTAAAATAAAGAAAAGGGCCAAAGTTTGAAAGGCCACTGTTCTTTTGAAATGTGTTAGCACTTTTTTAAGTGGCAGAAAAAATAAAAAGCTTCAAAAGTGATCTTTGTGTTTTTTATTTTGTATTACTTCTTTAACCTCCCTGGCGGTATTCCTGAGTGTAGCTCGGGGTAAAGTTTCAGTACCACAAGCGGTAACCCCGCGCTACACTCGGCAATACCATGCGACGCTGCTCCGCGATCCCTCGATCACTTACCTTGTCCTGCGCTCCCGCGATGTCCCTCCTGCAGTGTCCTCGCAATGTAATCTGGCGGATGCCGGCATCTGTCATCTGGGTTCCGTCCCCTGCAAGCGTCGTGACGTACGGGGGACGGAACGGCGGAACGGGGAAATTTTAAAATGACAAAAAGTGACATTCACTAAAATCACTAAAATCACAAAGTAAAACATTACTGTATCAAAGCATTTCACATACATTTTGTCCCTAGTGCTTTGTCCTGTGCACTGCCTGCATTTTGACTGTTCTTATTGCCTGGAAACTGAGAAACATCCATGGCATCCAAGAAGCGTCCCTTTAGGTCAAAAGCGGTTTTAGACCAGCTAGAGAACAGCGATAGTAAATCAGAACTACTTGCAGAATTGAGTGATAATGATTCGTGGGGAAATTCGTCATCAGACACTGAAAAACAATTTTGCGACTTTGCTCAGTGATGTGCGAACTTGGCACTATATTTCAAATGTCAGTGTTTTTGGTTTGATTATATTATTGAATTAAATTTATTATTATTATATTATTGTTTTTTATGATTATTTATTAAATTATAATTTATGATTTCTTGTTTCAAGTTTTATCCTACCCGGGATGTTTACTAGACTCTTGTTCGGACAGATTTCAGTGAGTTATTCCTAAGAATTACAGGCCTACAATATAAAACGCCAAATTTCCATGCAAAATAATGGTACCGCTTTCAGCACCAAAAATCTGAAATAATCATTAACCACTTACCCTCCTGAGGATTAACCCCCTTCCTGACCAGGCCCATTTTTTGCATTGGGGCACTGTAATAATTTAATTGACAATTGCACTGTCATGCAAAGCTGAACCCAAATTAAATTTACGTCCTTTTTTCCCCAAAAATTGATCCTTTTTTTGGTGGTATTTGATCACCTGTGTGTTTTTTATTTTTTTAGGCTATAAAAAAAAAACTGACAAATTTGAGAAAAAAAAAAACAATATTGTTGACTTTTTTGCATGTCAACATGTCCAGTAAAAAATTAAAAAAAATAAAATTTCATCATAAATTTAGGCCAAAATGTATTCTGCTACATGTCTTTGCTAAAAAAAAATCCCAATACGTGTAAATTAATTGGTTTACATGAAAGTTATAGCATTTACAAATGGCGGTATAGATACTGGAATTTTTGTTTTTTTAATTTGTACTAGTAATGGCGGTGATCAGCTACTTGTAGCAGGACTGCGGGACATTCTGACACTGGGGGAACTGACTTGCTGTCACTGAAATCCCCAGTGGCACCAATACAATGATCAGTGCTAAAAAAAAAAGCACTGTCACTGTACTAATGGCACTGGGCAGGAAGGGGTTAACATTAGGGGCGATCAAAGGGTTGACTGTGTGCTGGGTGTGTTTTACTAGAGGGCCATGTGTTTGTGCTTCACTGTAATCACACTGCTTTGCATGGCTGTGCTGTGCACAAACATCCAAAGCAGTGTGCACGAACTGACAGTCACCGGGCGCCAGTGAGTAATCGGTGATTGACAGCCGCGGCTGTGAATGGCGGCACTGGTAGGGCGCTTTCACCTCACATGCACCCCCTACCCAGAAATGTGAAATCACATACAGTATATATACGTGATTTTGCGCACCCGTGCCGCCCTGTAGCAGTATATCTGCTATAGGGCAGTCGGAAAGTGGTTAAGCAGTGCATTGTGCAATTTGTGTACTGTGTTCTTGTTAATGAACTGTACTTGTCAACAAAGGCTGTGGCATGCTATGATTACTCTCAATTTACATACGCAAAGTAAACATTATTAGGCTTAATGCATGTCTTGCATCATGGTTAATAAGGTTTGTTTCCCCATCCAATACCAACACCCCCATACCTACCCCCTCCCCCATTATACTTGCACTCATTCGATCCAGCGATGTGCCCATGTGCAAAACCAAAGATTTGCAATCTTTTTAGTGGAAGAGATGCATCGAAGGGGAGATTGGCAGTTACAAAGGGGTGACCTTGCCATCATTACATTAAGTATGATATTCATATAAAAGTAACATTAAAATTAACTTCTGACGGCATTCATTGCCATGAGCATTCATGGACACCTCTGGGGTTATTATGTGGTCAAATCCTGCATTTCCTCTAGATCGATATCCTGCAGCAGACCAGCGCACTGGGTAATGTTGTGCAGTATGCAATATGCCAGGAAAATGTACCCAAACTTTTCTGGAACACACCTCAGAAAACCACTGGACAGGGATATGCAACAGAACCGACTCTTTAGAACACCAAAGGACCGCTCAGTCACCAATCGGGTTGGGTCTGGAATGTGCTGAGTTGTACTGTGAGTGAGCCACAGTGGTACAGTGTGACATGGGTGCCGATAGCCAGGGAAGCCAAGGATAACCTGAATCAAATAATGAAAAAATATGATTTATGTAAAATATTGAATATACACCACATTTATGAAACAGGGAATTCTTTTTTTTTTTTTGGGGGGGGGGTATTTTAGATGTGGGCCTTCAGCTGTGGACATAACAGAAGAGTCATAAAAGTCATGCAAGCACTGCAGAGATGACAGATTAGTAAGAAGACAGCATGGAAATGACACACAAAATATATTATAAAAACCATGCATTAATTTCATTAGGGCACACACATATATATACCCATAAAATGTTCTCTTTCCAATATTTTTGCACAGGCGCTACTGCCGTAGTATATGAGCATCGTGTACTGATCCTGGAAAACCAGTCACCAATCACGGATCAAAATCTGGGAATCACACACTAGTTGAATGTTCATAGAATGATACCCCTTTCCATTTTCGGTAGATGTGCTCCTTATGACTGGGAGGGAATAGGGGGACATGTATACAATGAATAGCAGCTTTTACATTGGGAATTAGTGCCATGCTGTAGAATCCTCCTTTAATTTGATCCCACTCCAGCCATGATGAGGGTATGTAAATATAGAATGGTGCAATTTCCTGGAAGCTCTGTAGCACTGTGCCAAGGAATTGAGAAAAGGATGCCTGAGACATTCCGACAATATCACTGGAAACCATTCAGTAGGAGGCTTTACGAAGGAAAAGCAGCACAGCCAGCAATTTACTCATGCCTGGTATTGCATGACTCTGCTGGGTGGTAGACTCCAAGACTAGATGCAGCCACATGTACAACATAAGTATTAGCTCCTTGGGCAAACAGAACTTATGCACTGCTTCCAACTCTGTTAAATCATCCATCAGTGTGCGCTCCGTAAAGCCGTGGAGCCATTACCACCATTCTTCTCCATCTCCTCATACGCCTTCTCAGCATGTTGAATTGCAGCAGATTGCATTCAAACACCTCCATCTTAAACCACTTCCTACATCATCACAGGAACAGGAAATACCAATACCCTGGTGATAAATATTGCAAGTTTTTTACTTCCTGGTCCTTTTGTGAATTGGACTTAACAGGTTACCACACACAATTTTTTTGCAGTATTTACTAACACATTTTTTATTTTGCACTAAATACCGCAGAATTCTTTTTTTTATTTTGTGAATTGGACATTTTGTTACCGCACGTGATAATTTATGAAAATGAGTCACGTGACCATGTTATCGCATGCAGTAACCTTTAGTGAATTGACCCCAAAGTATTGAAGCAAGGGGTCAGCAGGACTAGCAGACAATCATCATGTTCTGAAGAAGAGTTTGGCAGTGGCGTCCTCTGGTTTCTTTTATGATGTTTCCTTTGGGTGCAGACAGAAAGTTTATACATCTACTGGCTTCAGGCAGGATAAAAATTGTTATCAAAACAAAAGTTCGGATTTACGAAACAACACCATGGAAATCCATTGTGACAGCTTGAGCTTTAGGCTAGCTTTAAAAAGGTTAAGTGATTAAAAAGATGTTGTCTAAATAGAAGTCAGTATAGAAAACATAATTTTGTCATGGCTGATAAGTGACAGAATGTACAGTGCATTGCAGAGGATTGTAGAAGCTTAATCCAATACTACCGTTCACGTCATACTCTCTACTGGAGCTTGTCTGCCTAAGGCATCATCCAAACTTATGAATTGTTTCCGAATAAAACACACTAAAACGCTGCTGATGTGCAAGAGAAAATAGATTAGAAGTATCAGTCCTGGGGCATATATATTTATCAGTGGGTGAGCTGAAATTTGTTCATAAAGCTTTGTTGATTGTAACTGGATTTCCCATTTATTTATGGGATGCAGGCCAATGTGACAGATGCAATGTGCAAAAAGTTAATTCTGGACTGAATGTTATTCAGACTTTCCCCAGTGAAGCTTTGTTGCATGCCAGACAATGATAGAGACAACTACAAATTAAACATGTTGCTAAAATCCAGTCATAGGTATATGCTTGAAATAGCATATATATATATAGAGAGAGAGAGAGAGAGAGAGAGAGAGAGAGATAGATAGATGGTGTTATATATATATATATATATATATATATATATATAAAAACATATATATATATATATATATATTATGTGTATATATATATATATATATATATATATATATATATATATATATAGTATATATATATATATATATATATATATATATATATATAGATAGATAGATAGATAGATAGATAGATAGATAGATAGATAGATAGATAGAGATATGTGACCCTAAAAAGTAATGGTAACTGACAAAGTGGAACATCACCAAACCTGCACCTGACAGGACAAATAAGGAATAGCCACCGTTGAATTAAAGGATTACCAAAGGTGACATTCCTCTTCAAATACTGTTTTACTGGCTGTTTCTGACGTTAATGATTTATGAATAATTGAACTGGGACAAACATGCAGAAAGTGAAGTCCGGATTCCAAATCTTGGTACTTGTTCTGGATCCCTCATTCCTGTTCCATTATAATGGTGCAGAAACCTGTCAGAAGTGGCATACACCACAATTGGAGCAGATAGACCTGTTTAAGGTCTATCTGAGTCACCTGCAGTTTTTAGTTCAGAGTGAAAATAAAAACTAGTGCACCTGATTAACTGAGGGAATATGGCAGTTTTCCATAAAGAAAATTGTCGTGGATCCCTGTCTGGTGAGTCCCTGTCGTAGGGGATGTGAGCTGTCAGTAGACAGCTTACATCCTTCTCTATGCCTGTGCAATGATTACACAACATGAGCAGAGACTGCATAGGGTTAACACTCTTCTCCTCCTTCTGCTCTGAGCCAAGTGTGGGTGGGGCCGGGGAGAGAGAACAGAGCTTGCAGCTCCCGCTGTCATTCTGTGTCCTGTGTGTTGTTCTAAATTTTGTACAGCTCTTTGTTAATTTTTAAGTGATATTAAAAGCAATTAAAAAAAATAACAAACATGTCATACCTACCTGCTTTTTGCAGTGGTTTTGCAAAGAGCAACCCCGATTCTCATCTTCTTGGGCCCCCCTCCAGCACTCCTGGCTCCTCCCTCCTGCCAAGTGACTCTCACGGCAAGCAGCTTGTTATTGGGGCACCTGAGTAGGCTTGCTCCCAGGCCACTGCCCTGTGGGTGCATTCACACACAGAGCCTAGGCTCGGCCCTGCCCCTGTAATTGACAGCAGCAGGAGCCAATGGTTCCCACTGCTGTCTTAGCTAATGAGGAGGGAGAGTCTACTGAGAGCCGAGGATCTTGTGCACATTGCTTGATCATGATGGGGCTTAGGAAAGTATCAGGGGGCTGGGGGGCTGCTGCACATAAAAGGTTTTTTACCTTCAGCCTTTACCACCTAAGTGTGGGTGGGTGCCATTGGCTGAGCATACCAGCTGAGCACAGCAGTAGGAAACTTCACAGTTCATTCATTATAAGTTTTCTATTATTAAAGAGGCCCATTGCTTAGTTATTAGGCAAGAGGATCATTCTGACTCCCCAGACTCCCTATCAGAGGCTTAATGTAAACGTTAACAATGTGATTAATTAGTACAACAAATATTATTACAACGGTGGGTGAGTCTTTTATATTATCCTTATCCTAAGATTTATCACAGGCTAATTTTATTAAGAATGTTACTGACTCTGGGATTTTGATAATCAGATATTGGGGTTGATATACAGTATTTAAGTGAACTTAACAAAAAAATGAAGCTGTGTTCATTTTCAATATTCCCCCATTTGCAGGTGGAAAAGTGGATTTCTTTTTTTACATGATTGGCTAATTGAAGCAAACATTTACTTACGTGAAAATTCTCTAATCCTTTAGAAAATCAACCCTTGTGTATCAAATACAGTAGAACACAGAGAAACTGACACCACTGGAAAAAGGGATGGTGCCTTTCACTAAATACAACATTGTAGTTGTCTGGTGTAATTGGTGTGGAAGTAGGGTCATGGTGTGATTGCACTGAGAGAGATAGGTGTCTATAAACACTTACAATTTTCAACTCCCCAGTTACTCAAATGGACACAGGAAAATAAAATATTGTTTTCACTATACACATGCTAAGCACAATATAGAAGTGTCAGGTGCCCTTATGAAAATAGACAACCCC